AATATATATTTATCATATATATTGATAAATATTAAATATTAAAAATATTAAAATTGTTCAGGATTTTTCATCCCTACGTCGTATCTCACTACGCGAGTCACACCTGTCCTCTTCTGTTGGAGCACTCTTTCTACTTTCGTGTGTGTATTGTGCTCTGTGTTGTGTCCTGCTCGTGTGACTGCGTGTGTTAGGTTAATTGAAAAAATCCAATGACCTCATCGGGACTTGAAACGTAACGCTTCTGAATTATTTTCGGAAGGTGGCCAGGACAGGTCTTTTTTCTTTTTTGTTTGATTTTCCTCAGTTTCTTTAGGCAAGTGGCAGGATGCTACCTCAGGTAGCTACCGCTTCCTTTCACATCCTTCCCAGTTTATTAACCTTAATCGCCCTACTTTCGACGCTGTATAGTTTCTGGCCATCCACAGGAATCCCTTAAATAAATCAAAATAGTTGTATAGGCTGCTCATAAGTCGTAATGCCGTGTGTCTGTTTCAGTATCCGCACTTCCTGAAGCGGGACGGAAACAAGCTGCACGTAATGCTGCAGAGGCGGAAGCGCTACAAGAACAGAACGATTCTGGGCTTCAAAACGCTGGCCGGTGGGACCATCAACATGGCTCAGGTAGGCAACCCTCACTGCTGCGCTCCATGTTGTATGTTCTTTGCCAGTTCAGAGATAAAGCTGCAAACGTAAGGACCAAGGATGTGATAATGTGCTGCCTGCCCAGGACTATAGTTACAGATGAATATGGAGCAATGGTAAAATGGAGATTGGCAGGGGAAATCCGAAGAAACTGGTAAAAGAGGTGAATCAGTACCGCTTCGTACATCACAAATTTCGTATGAAGACCCCTGGAACTGAACCCTTGGACTCGGCGATGAGAAATGAGCGTGTGGCCGCCTGAGCTATGGGACGGCTGTAGACGAAGAATAGAACCCGAAGTGAGGAGAGTCTCTGTGTGTTCTTATGTTGCATGCGGCGATTGCAGACCGGATTTGTATTCAGCTTCGCTCTTGGAGTCGGGGTGAATGTAACCGTGGTGCTGAGAGGCCATTTTATACACCACATGACGTCGAGATTAGAGTTCAGAGAGTGCTCAGTGTACGTTTCGTATCCGCCTGTGTCCGGTTGCGATTTACAGGTTTTGCTTGAAAAGTCTCTAGAGTTATACCACTGCTTCCCTTACCAAAAATTGTATCGCACGCCGCTGGTAGGGCCTCAACCAACTATGATACCGCGTACCACCGGCGCTCTTTGCAGTTTATTGAAGTTTCTTAAGCTTACTTTATCCAATTTAGTGCAAGTGTCCCACATGGAATTTCAACAGAATCTGTACCCAGGTTTGTGATGCATGTGGAAATGTCCATCTGTGTCCTTATGTTAAACTAAGTTGTGTTATGGGTCAGTATGGCTAATAATCGGGATTGCTTAACAGCTATTGACGGAAGACTCCCGTATCTAATTTCAATAACATGTGTGAAATGGTTTATGAGATGCATGCAAGGGTCCGTTTTCAGCCTTACGCGAATCAGCCTATATGCTTCGGTATAGGCTGGATTTATCTGGCTGAAGTTAGGGTTCACTGGCGTGCCTGAACACGGTGACGAATGAATCTTCAGATCCCATAAAATCGTTCAGCTGAGCGACTACTAGCTTCTCAAGGAAGACTTAGGCGTACTCCATGGTGTTGCTTAGGCACTTGACCCAGTTCGTGGACGTGTCGTAACGAGGGCATAGTAACCCCGGCTCCTTGATTCAAGAACACGCGGTGGCATTGCCGTGTTCCTGTAGGTGTGGAGGGCCAGAGAGATGAATGCACATCCTCTAGCCAATACTCGGTAAACTCACGATTGACGGGCTGCATGGCTCTGCATGCTGTGTGCGGCACGTCGGTCTGATTGTGACACGAGGAAGGAAACTGTGAAAACAAATCACGTTCAGGAAACTAATTATAAGAAATTAACTATACATTTAGGGGGCAGGCATAGCGAATGGCTACGGGCTGGACGACCGAGAGGTTGGAGTTCGAGTCCCGGTAGAGTCAAGAGTTTTCTCCAAGCCGTCGAAACTGGTTCTAGAGTTCATCCAACCTCCTATCCAATGGCTGGTAGTCGGGATGGATTAGGTTGGAAGACTGCATAGTTGTTCGGCAAAAGTCGTAGTCTTTTGCAGGTCAGTTCTAGCCCAGGTGTTGTCTCGTTTCCTTATTTGTGGTACGAGTATATGCAGTTTAGGTTGTTTTAATTTACGGGTAGCCTTCCACAAAGAGTAATTCGTGGCTTCTGTTGGGGTTAGTCCTCTGAGGTATTTTTGTATTGAGTCATTTTTTTTTAATTTATATGTTAACTTTTTAAGTTCTTTTGCAGGTCTGTTGTACTTTTGTTTATCAGCTGGACTCCTTGGTAGTTGCCATCTTTTTCTAGCTTTCCTTTTTTCGCGGAGTTTTTCTTTCAATTCTATGGGGCATTTTTCACTGGGAGTAAAGTGGTCGGGGCATGAAGCTGACCACTCACCTCAAACTAGTGCCGAGATCAAGAAAATGTGGATCTACACATCCACTCTACCATCCGCCATCATGGTGTATTGCTTAGTTAGTTAAGCACAGGGACGATTTTACCTTACTATACATGCATGCAGTGAAAGAAACTCGTTATGCTTAGTATGTAAAAAAACGCAAAGCTATCCCTGTAACAGGTCGTGGAGGCCCATAGGGCTGTAAGATGTCAAGGCTCCAATATTGTCTAGACCAGGCATGTCCAACTTCAAACAGGTTGTGATTGACTTTTTAGTGTCAAAACTGCCAGTGATCTACCACCCCCTCCTATCATCGTACCACGCTTTAAGCAAAAGTATTGGTAAAAATAACACGACACATGATGTTTGTTATAAAAGCAACTAGTAACTGGGCTGTGTCTCTGATGTCTGTAGATTCATCCAGTTGGAGGGAGAAAGCAACACAATTGGAAACATCTTTCAGCAACTGTTCAGTTATGTTTCCACACATCATTTTTATTCGCCGCACAATGGTGTTTCTTGATAATTGAAGATCTTGAATAGTAGCTATGATCTCTTCCTTATTTTTAAATCTTTCAAAAAGATTGTCAGCTATTTCAAGAAAAAACACTTTTACAAATTCCCCTTCAGTGAAACGGTTACATTTTTTAACAATCAGATTGCTGACCTTGAAGGATGATTTGGTTGCATTGTTAGAAAGTGACATTGGTTTTGACATCAACTGTTGTTGAGCAGCTAATTTCGATTTACTCGTAAGTTCTTTGAGCTTAAGTTTACGAATTTCACTTTTGGATGGAAAATCATCATCGTACTTATTGCTATGGAGAGCATTATAATGACGTTCCAGATTACCCCCTTATTTGGCAAGGATAGAGGCGTTGCATTTCCCACTATATTGAGGTAATTATAATTGAGGTATATTGAGGTTTTATCTGACACGCACACAGACGCTTTCGAAATGAATAAAATAACGTGGGCAGAGCACTTACTGTCCCTTTGATTACACGGAGCTCATCCCCAAACTCTATATTTATTTAATGCACAGCAAAGTGACAAATCTCCACTAACAGCTAATATAATAATACGTCTCACTTGTTAGTCCAACGTACGGGGATTCGCAGTTGACTGGAGGGAGGGGACGAAGCGAATCACACGTTCTGTCGATCATTCTTGCATCGTAACACACGCGGCTGACGAGTGATGAAATAAGAGTTCACGTGATGAGGCTAGCGTAGGGACTTCCCCCACAGTTCACTTAAGCTACATAAGAACAGAAAGATAGGAATGAGTGATACGCAGTTTCCCTTCAGAATCTGAATATAATCATAATATTTAATTGGTCATATCTTACGCGGTAACTGCCTTCTAAAAGAAGTTATTGAAGGAAAGATAGAGGGCCGGATAGAAGTGACCAGAAGACGAGGAAGAAGACGTAAGAAGATGCTGGATGACCTTGGGGACAGAAGAGGATCTTTTCATTTGAAGGAGAAAGCTCTAGATCGCATCAAGTGGAGGAACTGTTTTGGAAGAGACTGTGGACCTGTCGTCTTGACAGATTACGGATGAATGAATGAAATATTACAATTGAATTCACATGCTTTTCAAATATAATTTCCTTATAGGCCTATGAGATCGACCAAAAATCGTCCCGCAATCGACGCGTTGGATATGCCTGGTCAAGACATTCGGCTCACAGATGACGCTGAGGTTGTCAGCCTTAAGCGCCGACCGCCGTTTACCCCCAGAAAGATTTCTGGTACTCATTTCTGTTAGAGGCTGAATCGACCCCAGGGCCGTAGTGCGACTGGAAGGATTAGGTAAATTGAACAATCTAATGACCTCGTCGGGAATCGGACCCGCGACCTTCCTGCTTGTAGCATAGTGCCTCAACCAATCACGCTACCGCGTACCCCCTAGAATTATTGTACAGTATAACGCAGTATTATAATAGAAATAATTTCGAAAGTCGCACATCAGAAAACTTAAATGGGGGGGCTATTCAATTGACTGAAAGAATTGTTTAATCACTCAGCTTATTGCTCAGTTTACTGAATTTACTCTTATGTCGAATGGATGCTGAACTCACACGTCTTCATATATATAATTATCCATAAAACACAAACTTTAGAAATTTCAAGAAATAGCATCTGCCGCGTGTTCGCAACAGAAAATCACTCACTGCGAAGAAACCAGCATGTGTGACAAGTTGCGCAGAATGGCCGCGCAGTGCATTGATTAGCTTTAACTAGATAGTCCCGACGTACCCTACCGTGCATTAGTCTCTCGTGTCGTGATAAAATTAGCTTGCTATTTTAGTTTCAGTCCTGTCCCACGTTTCTTCCAATAATTTGCATTGAAAATATTCCTGTAGTGAAGTTGATGAATAGCTTCATTCAGGAGGGGGGGGGGGGTTGATGCGTTAGCTAAACGAATGCTCCTTCAGATTCATCTGAATGATTTATTGAGGTATTTTCTGTTTGCGGTTTGATGTAGGCGTGTCGTATTGTACAGATCTTAGATGTGTGTGGGAGAGAGATTGCATATCTTTGTGTTCCATAATGTCTTTCCGTTATGTTGTGTGCGTGGGGCACTAAAATGTAATTCAGCCCTTCCCGGCACCCCAGAGTGATGTTTATGTATATGTACGAGGGAGAGTCAGTAAATAGGTCACAAATGGATATAGAACGTAAAACGTGTGATATTCGAACCTGGAAAAGAATATTTCTCGACATATCCTCAACTAACAGTGATACACTTGTTCCATTGCTTTATCAGTGCGTCGAAACCCACAGCACGGAAGTCTTTTGACTGTTGTGACAGCCACTTCCGCACCTCCATTTCAAACTCTCCGTCATCAACGAAACGTTTGTCACTCAGTTGTGAACCACATTACGCGAGGGAAACATTTCTTTATGACTACTTTGCATCTAGTCACTTTGCCCACAAGCAAACATACAACAGAACCCCGCTCTTCGGTGGGATACTCCTCAAGCACGGTTTCCATTTTAACTACTGAAACCAGCCATGAATATGCGCGTGCGCATCTGATACCTAGACTGTCATGAATCTGGACTGTTCTGCTACCTAGTAATACACATTGAAAACCT